CTTTTCTTTAATTACATCAGGATGACTGAGTAGACGAATCTGAAAACAAAATGAAGATTCGACGGTCCGTAAACAATTTATTAGATCAACCTTCAAAGGAAGACCACTACAGAGCTCGAGTTGTAAAAAAAATCGAAAGTTACTAACCTTAGCCTTGTCCAACTCAGCCTCTTTATCTCTCAGGGACGTTTCCAAGCCATCAATACGCCCCATCATCTGGGATGTTCTGTGATCAGACTGTTGGATCTGTAAGAAAACTATTTTTTTCAAGGCTTAGCACACATACAAATAGTAGGAGATCTAATAGATCGTGCACAGCTTCAACATGAACGAAGAGTGCGCGAAGAACCGAAACCAATCTTTTGAGTTTTGAAGGAAGAAAACAGAGGTGGAAAAAAGAAAAAAGTGCACTGCGCCTGAATATCATCATAAACATCCTTGGTTCTGAACGAATGAACTCACTTGTTCATTTTTCTCAATCACTTCTCCTTTTGCGGCCGCTAGTTCTTTCTCGAGGCGCTCTATTCGTTGATCACGCTGTTCCATTTGTTGATTTTTACCCTCGAGCTTTTGTCTCAAAGCGTCGACCTAAAAGTGAATAGGGAAATCAAATCTGTGGCTCTGCGTGATTCGAATTGGTTAATTGATGTTAGGATACCATTAGGCATAGGTATCGTTAGAGCAATGTGACTGGAGCGGACCCTAACGACATTTGCTTGCTCTTATAACCAGTTGCGATGCAATGCGAAAACAGTACAATGGTTACAAAGGAATCAATCTCGCTCATGTATGCGCTTTGTTTAATGATCATATGCGAAAAAACCATCATTCTCTCTAAACCGACAGTCCGAAATGAAAGAAAAGTGCATGTACCGAATCTTAGAATGTTCTCATAGCTATTATAAATTGGATAAGTAAACAACAATTTCAAAAACTGATAAATACAAAATGAGTAAATAAAAATAATAACAAAATGAAACTCAGAGAATGTGCGCAGAAGTGAAGCATCAATACTTACGTCGCCTTGTAAGAGTGTATGCTGTTGTTCACGGTTAGTAATTTGCTCCTTCAGCAGCTGTACATGTTGCCGTAGATCAGCTGCCTGCTCTTCTGCATGTCTCATTCTTGTCTGACATTGGGCAAGCTCAGCCTTTCTTTCACTCAGCTCAACTTCTGACCTCTCCATTTTCATACGGAGGGTGACCTGAAGAAGGTGAGCTCATAAATCCCAGTTGAGCACACTTCGGTGGCAAAACAGTATTCGATCATCCCCACCATCTCGTGACTTGTAATGCTTTTGTCGGTGAAATCACGAGGTTGTCCTGCACGACTTAGTCGCAGTCTGGACACCTCCTCTTGAAGTTCAGTTATACGGGCTTGCTGAAATTAAACATATTCATCGCTCCAGAATTTTTTCTAGAAGACTTCAGATTGACATATGTATACCTCGACAATTTTTGATTATTCAGTATTATACGCTCTCAAAATGGATGATTGAGAATTTAAGCCTAACAGAATCTATCAATGAACACAAGTAACAAAAACCCCTAAGCCGAATAAGAAAGAGGGGCAATCGAGAAAAATTATGAAAAAATATAAATAATTAACAAAAATGATATAAAACGTTAAAGCCAATACCTTCTCATCAGCGATGCGAAGCGCATTTTCGAGAGCAAAACGACCACTCGGATCCTGAAGAGAGGCATTTCACCGCGGAACTCAAAACACAGCAGGCTACAACTTACGATTCCTCCTATCATTTGCTGTTCTTTAACCCTGAGCATCTCCTGCAGTTGGGCCACGGTATCTTCGAGCTCCCGAATGCGCATATCAGATAAACTTGATTGACCTAAAACGGAGGTTATTGACCATTCAATGACCATTCAAAATGTTGTCATTCCGAAAGCTTAAGCTCCATACCCTCGTCAACCATTGCTGATAATTGCCTGATCTTTTCATCGCGTGCAACAATTTCCATTCGAAGATGAGCTTAATAAGCAATATAGAGAAAAAAAAACATGACATGCATGGAAATCCCACCCAAATCAAAGGTCAAATCAACCAAAGACTGACCAACATCCTGTGATATTGCGGCGGTACCAGGTGCAGAAGTTTGCAGCAATCGCTCTACCTCTCTTCGCATTTGACGTTCACGCTGAAGACAATTTATTTCTTTGAAACTGATCATCGTAAACTGTTAGCAGTAAAGACTTGTACCTTGAGCTCGGGACTCCAGAAAGTTTTGATTGAATTCATTGTTTGATTAAGCTTTTCTATGCTCGCTTGGTAATCCGCTTTGAGCTGTTCGTATTCTGCAGATAATGAAAGACCACCCTGCATCCGGCCGCTAGTGCCTCCACCCGCTTCCGAGTAGTGAGACATTCTAAAGAAAAACTAGAAAATTCGTGAGCTACGGCATATAACGTCCTCCACGAAATCATAACTTCATGGAAGAAAAGCAAACGTAGCAATTGAATTCGAATTCGAAGAACACAAGAAGTTTGTATTACGACTAAGCGAATCACAATGTTATGAAAAGGAATGCGCAAAGAGAGCAATCGTCCCACCAAAACGGCTCGTCGCTCGAATCGATTGCGTATACTAATTACACTATCCACATAGTACATTCTTTCTAACCCAAAATGCCCTTTTCCTATGCTGCAGTAACGTGCCTAACCCATTTTTATCCAATATTGGGTATTGATCTATGTAGAAAAACGACCATTAAGGAGTTCTCCCCAATAAGGTCAGTCCTATATGACGCGAATATTGAAGCGAAATTTCAAAAAAACTACTCACCCGCCTATATTGCCCCAAAAGTTTTTATTAGTTGATGTTGGATTGGATAATGGAGCACGATACAAGCTTTGGAGACCGGAACTCTGAAAGATGAGCAGTGAAAGACCAATCTTAGCAACAATATTTCGCAAACACTTCCAAAAAAGTATTGGGCTGACACCACTGCCGTTTTGAAATACCTTCTACGTTCAATAACAAGTTAGCAATACTGACAACATTCACGACGAAAAATCTTTTCGAATTCCTTCCTTTCCCCTTTTAACATACCGTATCACTATCAACTCTACTAAATTCAACAGATATCAAGATCGATTGATTCCGCATTTGATCAGTGTGAAGGTAAAAGAATTCTCACTCCATTTTCTATGGGTACAGTTATAACTCTACAATTTGAAAACACAACTTCCCCCGCTCCCACATCCCATCAACCAAAAAAGTACCACTGAGACTCCACTTTGAACGCAAGAATAAGAAGATGGTGCAGATTACTAAAATTTACTAGTAGAAACATACCTGATGCATGGGGAAATTTGTTGATATTGCAAGAGGAGCTTCGTGACCACCAAGATCTGTTGCCGTTTCCAGTGGTCCCATGGTGTCCATTGACCGGTGTTGCCTAAAAAGGGGATTCGAAAATTTGAGATTTGGGGCACAAATGAACTAATCTTGAATCAAATAGCCTGAGCGGTGTAAAAAACATGTATCGAACAGCAGTGCATTTAAAAGTCTACGGTTTTCTTTAGCGAATATCTTTTCCGATACAGAGATTTCAAGGGCAGACTGGAAATCTAGAAGAAATCGTCTAGCAGGAACGTGGCGCATCGGAAAAATAGTGCACAATAATGAAAGCAGGGGGCAGGAAATGTACGAGGAAAGGGCAAAAAGTCGGCTTCTTAATTCAACCTTGTCGCTGACGAAGAAGAATCGATTGCGCATGCTTAAAAAGCTTTTAGGCTGTTAATCAGAAAGCTATTGAGGAATTCGTAGTACTTTGCAAAACAACTGGGAAATCAACGTTGAATGTAAGCACGCTTCTTGCTTCAGTCATTGCCAATGTCGATTTTCGCAGTTGACACGCGCCTAATGCAGTTACTAACGAAGGTTCGTTTGCGAGGAAGATGGAAGACTAAAGACAAAATAAACACAGATAAAAAGATGACAGAGATTAATTTGGGAAAAAAAATTAAATAAAAAATAGAAAAAAAATGAAATTAAAACTTATTAAACTACATCTGACCGCGTAAGAGTTTGCCTTCGAGCTGAAGTAGTTGGGTACCCGTATCTGCTCGGTCCCGCACTCGCTCCTCTAGGTGCTGGAGCAGGTGCTGGGGCGGTGGCTAATCCTATATCGTGTGGCTCGTAAGAGGAACACCTCGGCTGTACAGCACTGAATGCGGACCCGTACTCACCGAGACCAAAACGGCTCTAAAGCATCAGATTGAAAATGGGTTCCTGACGACTAGCAAGAATTACAAATGGATATGAGAATTCGACTCAAAACGACGATGAGTATCACAAAGAACCGGTCAAAGCTGAGTACAACCATAATAAGAATACCATACGAAGTGTAAAAATTGTATCTACAGCCACTTAAAAGCAGATTTTTTAAGACTCAAGGAGTACTCATGCTCAAAAAATAGGAAGGTCTGACCTTATTGCCTCTCTGAAAACTTCTAAATAGTGAAAGGACATATGGAAGAAAAAAGTTGAAGAACCATAACGATTACCTGAGTAGTATTATAATCTGATGGATTTAGAACCGGTTGCTCGAGATCTCCTTGTGGATGGACCATACTGAAGGTATAACCATCGAAGGACCTCGCTGGAATTGCTCCAGTTAAGTCACCGCCCCATGCTAGGGACCTGCCGCGAGCAGGCCACGCTCGATCCAGTACGTCTATAAAAATGAAAAAAGAGATTCATCAATATAGCCACTGAACACGCGGTCTTCAAAGGAGAAATCGCCTCAACATAGGAATAGTAAGCACGCTCTAAACGTGTATAGTCAAAGTTCATATCACTTCAATTCACGTATTATTAGGGGAAATTATTTGCCAGTAATGAATGAAATTGAATGTACAAACACTGCTTCTTTTGTAAAGCATAGAAGTCAAGTATCGAAGGCATCACTATTCGTGATAAAATCAAAGATAATAAATTCCGAAGTAAAAGAATCAGAGATTCCCACGATATTACAGTAGATCAGATGGTTTATGGTGGGTGAAGACGTCCACCTGGTAAGCGAGAAGAGCTCAAGTGAAGTTTGAGCCTGAGACTTTGTATAGAACTGAACCTTCTATATCTAGCTCCAGTATAGTCCCATTGGCTGCTTTCATAGTCCACAATTTGACCCGCGACCGGTCGAGCGACTGTCACGTGCCAAATCGTGGACTATGAAAGCAGCCATTGGGACGCACTGTAGACGAAAGGTTTCAAAAACCAAAAGAAAGCCTTAACCGTGAAGAGACACCATCGAATGAGGATTCATATAGTAGGGATAATCCACTCGAATTCATATTGATCTGCACGAACGGTTTCGCGTGTGTTGACAAAACGAATCGTCGCATGGTAGCTGCGAAAGTTCAAATAGGAGGGCACGAACACAAGTAATGGTGGAAGAGGCGCCACATTGTCAATCCTGCATGAAAAAAACCGAGTGGATGAATGGTGGAGGGGATGGAGGAAAGAGAATGGACTATTGTTAACTGCTCGCGAAACTGAAAAGTATCAAGTTTTAGGTCAACCAAGGCCAACAATGCTGCTTAGTTGTGAGCGCTAGGAAAAAGAAAAAAGATCGGTCGAGGAAGGAGACATCAACAGCATCATATCAAATTGTTCGCTGAAGAATGAAATTTCATAGGCTTTCCTGGTAATGCGAACAAGTAATCGACCAAGTGGGACTACCCATTCCACCTCCTGCAACTTCGCTTTTCTCTTTACATTTTATTCCGAACAGAACTTTGCACCTATTAATAAAATGACCCAACAGGGTAAAGAGAGGGTAAGGAGACGAGCGTGCGGTGCGAGATCATCTTCCAGCGTTGATTGAGTCGTTTGGCGAAAAGAACAGGATCCCAGATGTGAGGAGAGACAGGCTATGTGAAGAATCCGGAAATCCACAGTCGGGGTACGCCGTATACACATACTCAACAATGGATATGTATCCAATGAATTATTGATGGGCGACAACCAAGTGACTTCTTTGGATGGGACTAAACTGATATAAGTGAAACCAAGTGGATGTCAAAAGAAAACGTGATTCACAGGCGACAAAAATAGATCACGAACATATGGACACATAGACTTCTTCAAAGAAAAATGACTAGCTTCAAAGAAAACTTGACGCTTTCCCAATGGCACACCACAAGGTTTCATGCAAGAAAGAGTGGGACTGCGAATCGCTAGAGAGGCACAATATTGACACACGGACGAGATATGAGATGTCACCGAAAAAACAGCGAGTGAAGGCAAATGAATTTCTAAGCCCAACTGTCCCAAATCGGCCATAGTTTATGCTACAAGTCCGAATTATTCCCAACAAATAACTCCCTGAAAAAAAGTAACTTGCTAAGAAAGGCTAAGGTGCAACATCACGAAAAGAAGATTCCATACAGCGTACCATCAATTTCAAAGCAGATTTTCAATGAAATAACGAAAAAGAGCTAAGAAACAATGCAAACATGGAGTATGTCCTGATCAGATCAGGAAGACGGGCAGATAAAACGTATTTCGATTGTTACAGTTCAAACCACTTTTTTCAGGTCTAAAAAAATCCCATTCATTGGATTCAGAGAACCTTTGATAACCGAAAAGTCCACAGAAGTTCAAGTTCAGAATTCTTCTAACGTCATAGCGAACGCTTTTACCCATATGCCTGAACCTTATCGGAAGATTTATAAAGAATTTGCGTCAATTAGATTACTCAATTAAGCTGTAGACGAAGAAACAAGAAACGAAGACTATGGTTTGAAAAAGCTGATCCCATTAATGGCAAAGCACAAAAAAGAAGAAGCACTGAACGCCTTTTCTAATATGAATTTCTATACTTAGTATAGCCGTTTACAAGATAAAATATGAAGCTGGATTACGGAAAATTCTCGATTATCTTCTTCTGTTTACAAGCAAAAGAGCTGACCGTTGAATATAAGCAGAGATTTGCTCCATAAGTACAGTCACAGTTACTCCCGTTAACCTTGACTATAAAGAAGTCAGCGATTGAAATTTATAAGAAAATCAAAAAAACAAGTACGTTGGACATTTTTGGAGGTAGTACTTTCAATGTACAGCCAGCAATTGTGGATGAAAACTGGTTTCAAAATAACACAATCAAACCGAGCAAATACCAAATTGAACATCAAATAATTAACAAGTTACCAGTTGTGGAAGAGAACGAAAAGGAGACCCAGCAAATGCAATTGTTTGTAGAGCTTTTTTTGCCGACCGAAGCCGGAGAAAAGGTCGCAACGAAGACGTTTTCACACTCTCTGCTGTCGGAGAGCTCCCAGAGAGGCGGGAAAACCTGCCAGTCAGTGAGTTTGAGAAAGAAAACCCGACTTCTTGATTCGTTTGTGGAATACAAAAATATTGAGCAGGTGGTGTACTGACAAGATCTACTTCAATAGTTTCTACTGAATTCAATGGGTTTATCCAAAGTTCATGGATCAGTATTCGTTAACAAGCTCTTTGTACATGTTGATGGGCCATTATTACTTTTCTACTCAGAAGTCGCCCATTCCAAAATATTATCCAAGACACATCAAAAGTGGAGTTATGTCGAAGACCGTGGCTTAAACTAGAAGGGTAGGAAGTAGCTAGGACTGGCTTAAGGCTTCAACGTAGCTTCCTAAACAAGACCTATTTTCGTCCTTGAGCGCTTTTAAACAAAAGTTTAAAGTTGTTTTGAATGTAGCGTTTCATCACGGGCGCAAAAATAGCATGTCTTTAGAACCNAACCTAAAATAAGCACAAAAGATGGTCCCAATTAGATGGGAAAAGGAAAAAAAATGGGATTCCAGCGACTTTGCCATAACAAGATGAATGCTCGTTGACTTCACCAATTCTAAGAAGTAAAAAAGGAACTTTCGACTCCACTGACTGTTAATACTGACATTAATTGCAAACTTTTAGCACAAATTCAAACAACTTATCTATTTTTCCGAGCATCAACTAATAATAATCATAATTAATTTTTTCAAAAAGAAATTAAGTTTACAATGTTTGGTTACTATGAACAGATAAACGAAGATTAGCCTTTGAAAAGCGGTGTAGGAGCTAATCGGGATGCATACAAAAATTCGAAGGCCTGCCGATTTGGGTGAAGCCAGTAAAGCCGCTTTGACCTCCGAATCCAGGACTACGATAGCACAGTCTAGTGGAATACCGATTAGCACCAGCCCTGGCCTGGATTTTGCCAAAGAAGCGGCCATGGAACTCCTGACTCACTTATAATTGTAGTTTTACATATATCCATAGCGCTTTGATGTCCCCTATTAATCCACAAAGGAGAGCAAAGCCAGGAGTGAAGGCTGTTGAATGACGGACAAGCTTAAGCGAAGAAGTTGTTAGGATGAGTTACAAGATTATGCTTTTTCACATGACTCCTTTCCACATTTTCTGCCATCTGTATGTTTTCGTCCAAATACACCTAAATTGCATTTTCTACACTCCACAAGAAGGGTCCAACACAGTTATGGTGTAGGAGTTACATTGAAGGGGGAGATGCCTCGAAAATGGATAGCATGGGAGAAATTAGATGGGATTTTTATGATTTCTCTGATGAAAATAGGTTTAGGTCCGATAGTTTCTTAATCTAAACGAAGCTCAGCATGTCTGTTCACTGGATTAGTGATGCCAAGACTTGGGAAAGTGAATGAAGGCGTTTAGAGCTGGTCCCGAGTGAAGTAGTAAGGGCAGTTAACGAAATAAAAAGGAAGGATCAACAAAATGGTGAACGGACATGAAAATAGAACTATATATATATCAACAAATTGTTCCAACCATCTAGAAAAGGACCACTCAAACTCTAAATTGAATAGGTCCATAATGAGGCTTAGCAAGAAAAAGTAAAGACGAACTGGAACTTCTTCCTGAAGATACATTTCTCTAGAAATGTCCTGACAGCAAGTATTTTGTAAAATACGAAAGATGGAGGCGGTTTAAACGCGAAGCCTGCCTAAAAAGGTCGAGAGGAGAGTATCCGATACAAGAGAGGGCAGAAAGTGGCAAATCGATATTGGAGTAATAAGAGTGCATTCGAATGACCTTAGAACAAGCATAGAAATCCCTGTCGAAAAGCTAAATCTCTAGAACACAAACAAATTCTGAAATAAACAATTTGTAAACATGCACAATTAACAAACAAAACAAAATCAAAACATCAAAAATCGAACTAAGCCACTTATGGCGTCATTGAAATGATGTTCTCCGTAATTACAGAGAAATACTGGGGACAAGCGCCATCATCCCATGGAAATGGTGTCGATGAATTGCAGGGACATTCTTCGTGACAGTCAATGAAGTGTCGCGGAAAGCAATTGGAAATGAGAGCCGCAAATTCCCATGGACTACTCAAAGGTTCCCAGTGCCGTGTGTGCTCGTGGATGGTCTCTAGTGCTTATTGATTTGTTGGCAATGTGCCGACAACCTCATTTCCACGGGTTCCAATTCTAAAGTCCTCAGTCTCCTCGTTTGCCAATACACCCACACGCACGAACCTGGACTATCAAATGACAAAAAGTGACTTTCTGCACGCTAGGGGTTTTTGAGAAGCGGCTATGATGCCCTATGAAGGCCA